ATCACACATGATATTCCTGATTGTGGTCGACTGGATCATGCAGCAAACTGTGAGGAGCGAGAGGAGGGGGATACGCTGGACTGCGGAAAACGTCCGAGAAGATTTGGATTTCGCCTATGATGGCTTGTGTCTAATGTCACAAAAACTTGAAGATCTACAAGCGCAAACTAACAAGTTGACAGAAGAGGCGAGGCAGCGAAGATGGGACTTCAAGTGAATATGGAGAAGACAGAGGTGATGATGATACCCAACCAACCTCAACGACGACAACAACAAGCACCAATCACCATGAACGGGAGAAACTCGAAGGAAGTAGCCTCTTTCACCTACCTACCTACCTACACAACTACCCACCTACACAACTACCTACATACCTACCTAGGCAGCATCGTTTCAACTACAGGTGGAACTGCCACAGATAAGGACGTCAAAACCACGATCGGAATAGCAAGACAGGCCTTCATTAACTTGTGAAGATATTCTGCACTACACTCAACATTAAGCGTGAACACGATACAGATTTTCAACACCAATTCAGTCAAGTCACTGCTTCTATATGATGGTTGAGAGAGAGACTTGGCGTGTCAGGAAAGGGATTTCCAACAAACTACAGACATTCATCAACAACTACCTACGCTGGCTCGATACTGAATATCAGATCAGATGGCCAGAAAGAATAAGCGATAAGGATCTCTGGCTGGTCAGATAGTCGATTGGAACCGGAGTGGGAAACGACGAGTTGTGCGTCTGCGGCAAGGTTGACATGGAGGAGATGGTGCGAGGAAGAAGTGAGAGGTTGTGGGTTATCGTGGAGCCAGGTTGAAAATATTGCATTGAAGAGAGTGGAATGGAGACGTGCTACTGAAGCCCTATGTTTCATTAGGAGCCCAAACGACAAATAATAATAGTAATAGTATAGCGGGAAGAACATTTCCTTTTCAGTCTAAAGTCGTTTAACCTGCTAAGAAAAAGCTTTCTTAACAAATCACTATCCGAAGGGTTGTTTAACGTGGTTACTTAAATCGTACTGTTGATTAGTACACACCTGTACACTTGAAGTGATTGCAAAACAATACTATAAAATCTAAAATCCTTTTGCTATGAGTGTTGTTTATGTATTAATAATTTGTCTGTGCATGGGACATAACAATAATAGCTGCCGACTGATGTTTTTCATCATTAAGTCAAACAGTTGGATATCTTAGTATTTCAGTTCTAAAATCCCCTTGTAAAATATGGTTTCTTCTAGTTTGACTACAAAAAACAACGGTAAGCTCTTCCGATTCAGGCTTATGATTTGGAAATAAGTTCTTATTTGCAGCTTCAGCTAACAACTCTCTCCCAAAACACTCATAAACCTGGTGGTTTCCATTACTAGATTAAACCAGACTATTTTATAGACTTGGGAATTATGTCACGTGCTCTGTGTTAAAATGCTTCAACTCACATAGAATATTATTATTAATTATTATTTGTCGTTTGGGCTCCTAATGAAACATAGGGCTTCAGTAGCACGTCTCCATCCCACTCTCTGCAATGCAATATTTTTAACCTGGCACCACGATAACCCACAACCTCTCACTTCTTCCTCGCACCATCTCCTCCATTTCAACCTTGCCGCAGACGCACAACTCGTCGTTTCCCACTCCGGTTCCAATCGATGATCTGGCCTGGTGCGTGATATTTTCGAATGATCTTCTCAATGCATGTCCAATCCATATACACTTCCTTCTGCATATTTCTTGAGTGATATGTTCTTGGTTGGTTCGTTGTCAGCCAGCCAGCCAGCCAGCCAGCCAGCCAGCCAGCCAGCCAGCCAGCCAGCCAGCCAGCCAGCCAGCCAGCCAGCCAGCCAGCCAGCCAGCCAGCCAGCCAGCCAGCCAGCCAGCCAGCCAGCCAGCCAGCCAGCCAGCCAGCCAGCCAGCCAGCCAGCCAGCCAGCCAGCCAGCCAGCCAGCCAGCCAGCCAGCCAGCCAGCCAGCCAGCCAGCCAGCCAGCCAGCCAGCTAGAGTTCCTTGTCTCTTATTCTTTCTGGCCATCTGATCTGATATTCAGTATCGAGCCAGCATAGGCAGTTGTTGATGAATGTCTGTAGTTTGTTGGAAATCCCTTTCCTGACACGCCAAGTCTCTCTCTCAACCATCATATAGAAGCAGTGACTTGACTGAATTGGTGTTGAAAATCTGTATCGTGTTCACGCTTAATGTTGAGTGTAGTGCAGAATATCTTCACAAGTTAATGAAGGCCTGTCTTGCTATTCCGATCGTGGTTTTGACGTCCTCATCTGTGCCTGTGCCGTCGGTAGTTGAAACGATGCTGCCCAGATAGGTGAAGGAGACGTTCTTCCCACTAATAATGGTTAATAGGCAGATGCTAGTTTTCTTATCTGAAAGCATCTCTCACACCTCACACCATGCTTTAAATATAAACAGTATATTACAACAACTGGCATCAACTGACAGAATCCCATTTTCACTGTTCAGACGATGATACTGAAATAGCTGAGGTAGCTATCGTGCCCCACTGGCTTAATTGATAACGCTATGGTGTTTGGAGCGAAGGGTTCCGGGTTTGAGTCTCGGTGGAAACAACATGACTTACCGGGGTACAGGTACATTGAGCAGGCAAGTTCGAAATAGGACGTTATGCACTCCCTGGTTTCCTCTGCTGGTTACCAGAATCAAAGTAGACTGGAAGTTAGGCAGTGTTCACTTCAGCTGTTAAAATCATTCAGCTGATAACTGCGTTGAAAACAATAAGTTTGGTTATTGAGTTGATAAATCGGGATGTAGTTATTGGTTCAATACAAACAAGATGAGACCTTCAGATGACGCAGCTGTAACATTATGATATTGATACTGACTAACCTATTTACATGTCACGAATTCTGACAAGTCCACTTCTGTTTACAAAAGGTAATTAGTAATTTACTGTTTAATAACTGATGCCAATTTGGAGATGATTATCATGACGAAGTGTCACAAATGTAAACATGCTGATTACAAAACCAAGATACTTTTTTATTTCGTAACAGATATGTGTGAAGTTCTAGCCAAAAATGAACGTCTATTTAGCACCCCTAAGGTTTCTGGTGTTTTTCAAATAACATTTATGAGTGATTTGATTATCTGAAGTTAAAAATTTCTTCAAAAGTAAACACATGAGTTACTTGCCCTAAGTAATAAAACACAATCTTTTTACAACTAAGTTGGATAACATTACTTAATCACTAGTTTTAATGTTATCAAGCTGTTAAATTATAACGTTTATACATTATGTTCCAGTAATTGCAACTTAGTTAATTATAGGTGTTGTTCTTAAACAGTTAATTGGTGTTTTTCGTATTAAAGGAAACTGCAATTACACCCATACATAAAATTCTAAGTAAGCTTTTATTTTCAGTCCTCGAGATCTAAACCAATAATTTTTGAGCTGAAATCTTTGAAGATGGTTGATATTTCTGTTTTAATAATCATATTTATTAACGTTTTTATTTCAAAGTTCGCTCTGTTGTATGCGGAAACTGGTTGAGCTTCAGAAGGTATAGTTTTTGGATTCTTTAGTTATCTGCGAAAAAAGCTTAGTTCAGTGAAGATTTCATTTACGTTGATTTCATTCTTAAAAACTCTACAATAACACTTTTATCAGAAAATGTATATCTCGTACATCATCAACTACAAAGTCATCTACAGAAATCGCGACAAGATTACTGAGACCACTTGGAATTGACATGGCTCATAAACCAACAATTTCCCTCCAAACACTATTAGGCAGATTAAAGGATGCATCAACCAAAGAAGACAAACCGAATATCATTTACAAAATCAACTGCAGTAACTGTAGTTAACACTATATTGGACAAAGTGGCCGCCCTCTTCAGCTTCGTCTACATGAGCATCAATTGGCTATTAAACGTCACAGACGACATTTCATCACTCATTTCAATCCATGTGGATAGTTATGGACATGAATACAATTTCGACAATGTAGAAATTTTGGGTAGAGGAAACACAAAGAATATCAGAGAATTCCTAGAAGCGTGACATTCAGGCCAGTTAGCAATCAATAGATGCATAGACATAGATCCAGTCTATCAACTAATAAGAAAAATGATAAACGGTAGAAAGGTCAGAGGTCAAGCAGAGGAGCAACCAACAGGAAGTCTATTTAGTCAATGACACAGCAATCGAAAGAAATAACCAATCACAAACCAGTTCGTCAGGGTAAGCTACTAAATCACTCACGGAGAGATAGTGGCAGCTTACTTCACACCGAAGTCAGTGCTGATGATGTCGTCCAGAAAGACGACTAAACAACCCAGCTCAGAGAACACAATACAATCAAGAGTAAGATAATTAAAAGGAAAGAATATAAAGTTAAATAAGATGTAAATTTAATTCTAATGATTAAGCATGGTCAGTGGTAGCCTGTAAGAAAAGTGGAGATGATGTTCAGTTATGGAAATATGTGATAAATCATGGTAAAATTGTGAATATTAAGAGGGAGGGAGAGAGAAAGAAGGATTGACATTTATAGCTACTAACTAAGTTTGAGGTTGCAATAAAAGCTGTACAAGTTTGTTTCTTATGGATAGTTCTGGTTATTCCATAAATGTAGCAAGAGCTTCTGTAGTATACAGATGTTGGAAGCTTATCATTTTCAGAGGCTCTCTTTTCATCCTATAGTTGATTTTGAACGCTGAATCAGATGTAATGCTGTGACCAGTTTTGACAAAGCGTTTAATTATTTCACTTCTTTGCAACTAGGTGGTTTAATGTCATCTAATCCGTTTGAAAAGAATCCCCGTCCATGAAAACAGGTCAATTGATTTGAACCACTAGACAGCTGAAAAATGCAATCCTCAAGAGTGATTAGGTGAAAATGTTCTTAAGCGAGTTAAAAGTTCTTTTCAAGATATCATCTTAAAATTGAAGATTCATGTTTGCTATTCATGTACAGTTTTTAAATTGAAACTAATCTTTTTATGATTTCTTAATCCAGACTCAGCGTAGATGGAAATGGATTGAACCAAAAATATGCGATGAAAACCGTGGTGTTTCATTACCTCAACCAGATATTCCTATAAAATGCCATGAATGCCCTATTGGTACATTCCCTTTAGATGCCAATACTTGTGAATTATGCTCTGACAGTTCAGCGAAAAGAAATATAAATTTAGAAAAGTGTATTAAATGTCCAGTTGATCAAGTTCCAATATATGGTTTTCATTTTGACAATTGGTGTCGTATACCGTCCATATTACAGATGAAGTGTTTCAATTTCTTTAGTACGTTTTAGCGCGTAAACTGTCCTACTTACTTGCTTTTCTTACTTGAAAAAGATATTTTGAGTTGTCTGTCAATAGTTGTAAAATATCAGGGTACTGAGGACGTTTTCTTTCAAAGTTCAAGATGTTCAGTAAAACTGGTCACCAACATATTTCGGTAAGATATACAACTCTGACCGAGTTGCTTATTCACTCACCTGTATTACATCGATCTTTGCTACATATCACTACGTAATTGGATGATTATAAAGGTCACCACTTTGTGTACCAAAACTTGAATATTAACCTGAAAACTTAGTGTCAGATTCATACTCTTGAAACGGATCTTCCTAGCAAGATCGAAACGTTGAGGAATAATACAAAGTATTTGTTTATTTTGTTATTTGTTTTAATATACTACGCCGGGATTACACAAGTAAAAATAAATCCTATACAATGAATCATACTAACTCGGTGCCCAAGTTTTTCCAAACCATCCAGTCCATTGTTGGTCAGGATACCTTCACACTTAGTTAGATTACGAATTCTATCGAGAGTAATGAAAAACAAATTCTTACATAAAACACGTACAGAAGAAGCGTAGTACCACTGGTATCGAGTTGTTTTCTATAAAAGTAGAATTCTTATACGAACTACAAGTCCTTTGACAAAACGTTCCTATTGTAATCGACATAGTACATTACACAATATTTGTGGAGATCGTTGTCACTGATTCATCAAACACAATTGAATATTTGTGCAGTTATGTTCACTAATCTTAAAGTAGAATTTTTTTGAGTAGGGTTGTATTTTTCACTTTAAAACTTTATCAAAAGTAACGAGAAAATAACATTTTCAAAACTATACCACGTTCTTAAACTAGGTGCTTTTTATGTACTTCAGAAAAAGTGAACAGAAAAAATATATTCAATAATTGACGTGTTGGAGATACGCATTAGTATTATAATCAACTCAGATTTTTTGATTCTTGCCTGGAGTTAGTCGATAATAATTGAATTTTACCGAAGTAAAATGAAGTCAGTATGGAGCTGTGTTTATTTTATTCAATGACTATGAGAATAATTCAAGACAATTGGCTCTTATTTCTTCGGATTTTAGCTTCTATTATAAAGATTCTAAGTGGAAGACTCATCATATATGAGCTTTCCTACTTAAATGAAGCTGACTGTGGTATAGTTAAAGTAAGGTTTAATTCAGTTCAGGTTCTTATTAGTCTAATGGTGAGATAAACAGGACTCATCAGTTGATTTCCTTTCGCAATAAACACTACTGCCATCCTTTTAAATACTTTATGTTGAATGACTTTTTATACTTATTATTTAGACGTTAAGTGTGATGCTTGGGAACGTGATATGACATCTTTACGTGGTGGAGTTGGTATGCATTTAGATGAAGTAGCAACACTGGAGTTACCTGTTTCCAATGGTTTTATCACAGCATCACCAGCTGTCAGTTTGGGAACAACAGCATTGACTTTCTTACAACCGCCGATTCCAAATACATTCGTACGTATTGAATTTCAGCTAGAATGTAGTTCGAGATGTCGGCTTTCGATGAAACAGGTAGGTCATCTTGTAGATCGTAAATAAATTGTCGCATAATGTGGATATCTTGCATAGATAAACAATCCTTATTTTAAATATGATATACTGAAGTTTTCAACAAAAGAAAAGGTTTCAATTTAACTGAAAAGTCAAGCTTTAGTATTTTGCAAACATAAGCAGATCCAAAGATGCTAGAAATATTTTTTGTCAGTACACACGCAGGAAAATGTCTGTTAGACGATAATGGAAAAGTTGAAAACTCCAATTTGATAAGTTTAGACGATGTTCTGCGAACATATCGATAGATATATGCGAGGAAACGGTTACTGACTTTGTAGATATCATCTGTAGATGTTAATACTTACTTATAGATCAAAAAACGTAAATTTGTGTCTAGTCTGTTTTGTTGGCTGAAAATGGCACTGAAATGTTACAGTACCATGCTTGGAATCTTCGTTGACGTGAATTTACAGAGGAGTGAAGTAATTTTATTGAGCGTATTATCGATAAATGGCGAAAAAGTTTAGTATAGGCTACAACAGACATCAAGTCACTGGTGGAAGAATACTTCTTGAGTGATAATGAGGTGGTCAGATAACACGAAGAACACTGCAGAAGAAGAGATGTAACTAAATAAATCATGTTGGCTCACAATTCACCCTAACAGTAAAAGATATCATAATAAAGCTACCTAAAGCAATTAAAATAAACTAAGCATAAAAGTTAAGTCGATCTTGAGAAGTATGAACACAAAATACCCATCAATGAAATCTCACGTACTTTCATGCAGTTTTTAGTCGACTGAACAGGTGGAAGCTATGCAAGTTGCCATTTACACGTATTTGATCTTGTTCAATCAAGTTGCCTATCTATATTTGAGCATAGTAGGTGAATTTATACACCACTGCAACTATTTCCCTTAAAGCTGTAGATAAATCAGGAATGAGAACGAGGCATGTATCAGCGAAGAAATATTTCTTTTGGTAGTTGAAAGGAAATATTTCTTCGCTGATACATGCCTTGTTTTTGTTGATGAATAAATGGGTATATTTCGTCAGTTAAATCAGGAATATATGAGTGCCATCTTAATAAAACAGGCTAAACACTGAAGTATTTAGGCGTCGGTTGTTTTCTTAACTCAACAATGAAAATAAACAGTTCATTGTTTCTATAAAAAAAGCTCATTCATACGGAAAAATGTGCAGTAGGATGTAAAGTCATTGAGACAGTCAATTAACCCAAAACAAAGGTTTTACCCCAAATAACCAATTTATTGATTTTCCCCATAAAAGAAAGGTGTATGTAGTTTACAACCAAAGATTTTATCTACTCTCAAGATATTAACTTGGTCTAACATTCTGCTGTTAAATTCCCTTCAGAAGTAGCCTTACTAAATAAAATTTCTTTGAAACTATCCAATGTTTCTTATTTCGTTATTTTCATCTCGAGTACTTTGAGAAAATATATAATGAATGTTTCCAGATGACCAAGTACTTTCTATAATCCTTCTGGTTCACCATGAATTTGGTCATCTATACATAATTTGTCCACATTTAAAGAGTTCAGTGTTTAATTTATTGTTCTCTATAGTTCTATGCAACTTAGTTCGATATCCTGAACATCAAAAAAGAGTCTCACAATCAAAACTGTCATTCATGCTCAAAATAATATGGTCAAAGCTGCCAGCAAAACAGATTCGAAAGGGGTGGAATATATACCAGTAGTTTTAGCACTTGTTAACAAATGACAAATGTAGCCCAAACTAACTGGCTAAAACACTGGCTTATAGGTGGTAGACAAAATTGCGTTTCTCAATCCCTAGTACCAACCGAATACTATAAATCATATTCTCATTTGACTAACAGGTTTCATGAGTTCGAGTCCTAATACATTGGACTTAATGTTAGGTGTTCAAAGACTGCAGTTGGGAAATTAAGAACTTGAATGTTAACCTAGTTTTGAAAACGCATTTGAAACATTGACAGAAGTGACGCTGCCTTAAAGACTTTAACCCAAATCAGCTGATGCAAATAATTACAAATGTTTCTATGTAAAAGTAAAAGTGCCTTTGGGGCTATAACTCAGACAACGAGGGATACTGGCCTAAGTTATGGAGTAGTCAACTGACATAAAAATAGTCCAGAGTATAGTATTAAACGAGAGTTTTCCCATGATTTTAATTTCTTCTAATGTATTGCTATTATTATTTGTCGTTTGGGCTCCTAATGAAACATAGGGCTTCAGTAGCACGTCTCCATTCCACTCTCTTCAATGCAATATTTTCAACCTGGCTCCACGATAACCCACAACCTCTCACTTCTTCCTCGCACCATCTCCTCCATGTCAACCTTGCCGCAGACGCACAACTCGTCGTTTCCCACTCCGGTTCCAATCGACTATCTGACCAGCCAGAGATCCTTATCGCTTATTCTTTCTGGCCATCTGATCTGATATTCAGTATCGAGCCAGCGTAGGTAGTTGTTGATGAATGTCTGTAGTTTGTTGGAAATCCCTTTCCTGACACGCCAAGTCTCTCTCTCAACCATCATATAGAAGCAGTGACTTGACTGAATTGGTGTTGAAAATCTGTATCGTGTTCACGCTTAATGTTGAGTGTAGTGCAGAATATCTTCACAAGTTAATGAAGGCCTGTCTTGCTATTCCGATCGTGGTTTTGACGTCCTTATCTGTGGCAGTTCCACCTGTAGTTGAAACGATGCTGCCTAGGTAGGTATGTAGGTAGTTGTGTAGGTGGGTAGTTGTGTAGGTAGGTAGGTAGGTGAAAGAGGCTACTTCCTTCGAGTTTCTCCCGTTCATGGTGATTGGTGCTTGTTGTTGTCGTCGTTGAGGTTGGTTGGGTATCATCATCACCTCTGTCTTCTCCATATTCACTTGAAGTCCCATCTTCGCTGCCTCGCCTCTTCTGTCAACTTGTTAGTTTGCGCTTGTAGATCTTCAAGTTTTTGTGACATTAGACACAAGCCATCATAGGCGAAATCCAAATCTTCTCGGACGTTTTCCGCAGTCCAGCGTATCCCCCTCCTCTCGCTCCTCACAGTTTGCTGCATGATCCAGTCGACCACAATCAGGAATATCATGTGTGATAATAGGCAGCCTTGTCGCACTCCTGTCTTCACTTGAAAAGCATCACTGAACTTCCCATTGTGAATTACTTGGAATGTGGCGTCGTCATATAGTTGTTGACTGAGATTGGTAAAGGTTTGTGGTATTCTGTAGTATTGAAGCAGCTGCCAAATTACTTCTCGGTCGAAGCTGTCGAATGCCTTATCAAAGTCGATGAATTTGAGTTCGAGGGTTGACTGCCATTCAATACTCTGTTCTATGATGATGCGTAGTGTAGCTTTGCAATTTGGTCTACACACGATTTGTTCTTCCCGAAGCTAGCCAGCCAGCCTGTTGCGGTTGTAATTCTGAATCAGCGAATCCTTTATTCTTTTCAGGATGATGCGGCATAATATTTTGCTTGGGGTGGACAGGAGCATGATTCCGCATGAGTTTCTGCAAAGACTTAGGTCGCACTTCTTCCGATCAAAGGGCAGGTATCCTTCCTTTCTTCCTTCCAGACCTTCTGCAGTAATGGTGTGAGCATGTCCGCTGTTGTTCCTGCGTCTGTCCTCAGTGCTTCTGGTGGGATTCCATCTGGTCCTGCTGCTTTCCCGCATTTCAGTAGCTCTATGGCAACTTTCATCGGAGGGCTTTTGTTCACTTGTAGTTCTGTGGCTGGGCTGCAGGTGGTATTTCTGGACGAGTTACAGGTGGTGGCCGATTCAAGAGATTTTTGTAATGGCCAGCCCATCATTTCCTTTGTTTCCCCTCTTGGTAATTAAATTTCCTTCATCATCTTTTATTGGTTTCATCTGTATTATTCTCTTCCCTACGAAATGGTAACCTAGTTATTTGATATGGTGTTGTCAGGTCCCTCCTACCTGCAGCCTGTTCTGCTTCATTTGCCAATGTGTCGTAGAACCGTCTCTTAACTTTGTATGAACTCTTCTTCACTTCTTTGTCCAGTGTAGTGATTTGTACGTTGTACTCACTTTTTCTTTTCATTGTGCATCCTTGCACTGGTTTATCTTCTGCTTCACCATCCTCCTCTCCCTTCTCTACCAGCTTCCATTTCTCCGTCGAGATCCATTCCTCATCTTCCTTCTTCTTCCTTCCTAATACTGTTATGCAGATTTCTTTCCAGATCTCTTTAAAGAGTTCCAGTGTTCAACCACTCAGTTTTCTTCGGAGATGTTGCTTGATATCTCCCATTCTTTCCTGATGGCTGACGTGTAGATTTTCTTTGTAGTTTCGTCCTTCAGTTTGTGTTCTGGGTGTTGAACTTGAGTTGTGGTCTGTCATCACCAACTTCGTTGAAGGTTTCTTGTACTAGATAGTGTGTGGTGCGAGCCTACATCTGCTCCCCTTCCTCATCTTGTGTCCAGTAGGCTGGCTGCGTCTCCACTTTCTTCTCATTGAGATGAAGTCAATCTGATTCTTAGTGTAGTGTGTCCACCTGGTGGAATCCACTCCATCTCGCTTTGTGGATATCCTGGTGATTGAACACGGTGCCTTAAATCACCAAATCGTTGAATGCGCAGAATTCTGCAAACAGTTCTCCATTCTCGTTCATTTCACTGGGTGCTTCTCGACCCGTGATGAGTTCTCTTCCTGTGTTGTCCACTCCCAATTCGGTATTCATGTCACCCCACTGATTAGAATTTTGATGTCACCATCTGGGGTGGGTCTTGTCCAGTGTTGATTGCAGTTATCTGTAGAATTCTTCCCTTTTCTCTTCATCTGCATTATTTGTAGGTGCACAGCGTAGCATTGAATGATTGTGACTTTCCTTCTCTTGTAGTTGAATTTATGTTGCTGTCATGATGTTGATCCCTTAGGAGGAGATTGGTTCTTACTGCATGAGAGAGAGCTTTTGATGGTGTTGGGGACATCATGATAGCCACCCGGAAACTCAGTGTGCTGGTGGTGGTTGTCTGAGTGACAATATCGGA